AGATTCTCTACAACAGCCTAGAAAGAAAGAAAGCTCAACGACAAAGTCCTTTACTGATCTAAAATCTCTCGACCGGGCGCTTCAACAGTTTCGCAGCAAGCTAAAAATCGTGCGCTTCTCTCCGAGCATGCAGCTACCTTCTAAGCTCCTCTGTCTCTCGCTGTCCTCGTTATCGAGTAGGAAGAAGAAGACGGGGTAAGGATCGTTCGAACGAGATCGCTGAGCGTTTACGACGATCTACGACCGTGCGTGCGTCATCGTGCGCGGGCCAATCGGCCGGGGACGATAATTCCTGCTCCGGACGATCGTTCCGCGTTTGAGCAAAGCAAAGGTCGAAAACGAACGAGGTGTCTTTGCATTAGTAGGTGCTAGGGCATACTGGCGGATTCATCTCGCCGAAGACGTTGAGCTCGTAGAGCGACGCGAACACGATAAATATTAAATACCAGACCATCAGGACCATGCCGTATCGTCGATCCAGCTTCCAGCCGTTCAGGTGTGTCGCCAGCACCAGGAACAACACCGTCGACAGCAGGGACACGGTGGAATACGTCAAACCTGATAACATAAACGACAAAAATTAAAATACAAATGTGTCCTTTTTGCGAATAAAGAGATTAAAAATGTAGATAGACAATTCAGCGAGTAAAGAGATTAAAAATACATAGATAGACAATTCCGCGAATAAAGAGATTAAAAATATAGATAGACAATTCCGCGTACCTCTGCTCGTGACGTTTACGTGCGAGCCGGGCTGTATCATAGCGGTCTGTATAAACCACGGAAGACCGAGGCATACCAGGATGTCGAAGACGTTGCTGCCTACAGCATTACTGACCGCCATGTCGCCGAGACCCTCCTTGATGACCGCCAGCGAGGAAAGGGCGTCCGGCACACTCACGCCAGCGGCAACGAAAGTCAACCCCATCACGGTGTCGGGAATGCCCAGGGTACTGCCTGTAAAGTCAACCGCTTTGCTAACACGATCCCATTTGCTAAAAGATAATCGATCGCAGTACAAACGATAAAACGTTACCTATGATCGTGATCATCCACACCATTATGTAGCTGTAGAAACTGATCCAGATCATCGATATGCAAAACGTGAAGGGGTACCATCTCCGCCACTTTTCCTGCCGGCAATCCGGCATTGTCGCCCGGCACATGAAGTGGATGGGATACACGAGGCCCCAGGTGAACAAGGTCCACTTGCTACCGTCCGTCGGCATCACGAGGGGCGACACTTCGTTGGGATTGGGCTCCTTCGCTTTGTAATACTCGGGCTGCCTCGATGCGGCCGGCGGCTGCTGCTGTTGCTGCTGCTGCTGCTGTTGATGGTGATGGCTCCAAGGATTGACGGATCTCTTGCCGTATACCGGCATGTCGTCCAAGAGAACACCGTTCTCGTAGTATCTAGAAGCGCGTTAAGATCCGTTAACGGAAGGAAGTGGAAATTAATGCAATTCATAGAGATGCATATAAAAATGCCACATTTTAAACTTAATGGGATTAACACTTTAACTATTACCCTATACGGTAATCGATATAGTATCAGAAAAATTTAAGGTCGACGTGTTTTGTGATGTCTTTTAATATTTATCATCGGAACGCGAACATTCTTCCGCTCCCTCGAGTTCCGGTATCCGTTGCACACACAGAACGCTTTTACACGGCGAATTGTTTGGGCATTCGGCAGTCGGGCATTCGCGAGGGTTGCCTGCGAATCAAAGACGACTGTCTGTACGTGTACACCCATGCACGCTCGTAGACACGTGTGCGCCACGATGCGGTGTGTATTAGCAGGATGCCAATAGGCACTCGAGGCAAGTTCGTCGGCACTTCGTCGGGACGCGAAGGGGGTAGCGCCCAGGCGTTGCGCGCGGGGACGCGGGCAGGGTGGTTCGGGGAAAGGTGGTGCCCCGATGATATATGGAAACGTCACCGGCAGACATATCGAGAGGAGGCCAGGATGGCATTGCCAGGGCGCGCACCGCGTTTTGTCGCCTTCGTATTCGCTTCGTACGGCGCCCCTCTTTCCCTCCCCCCC